CCGCTGGGAAGGGGCGGGGCCCAACCGGCCGCTTGCTTCCCTCCGGCAGTCTGGCTGAGCAGTGCAGAAGTCAGCTGAGCACCATGGCGGGAGGCAACAGCGCCACCCAAAGGGAACAGCCATCATTTCAGCGTTAGTCATCAACATTGGGCTACTAATATATATATGATAAGGTGACCCTACGTCCAAACCCCACCTTTTTGCTTAAAGTAGTGTCCCTGTTTCATACGTCTTAAGAAATATTTCTTCCGGTTTTTTACCCAAAACCGCATGTGGATGGGAGGGAGCAAACATTACACACATTAGAAGGGCCCTTGCCTTTCCTTTAGAAAGGACGAGACAATTTCGGAAATCTGCTCCGCTCTTCTTCTTTATAGCAGACAGGATTGTCCAGTGTTAGCTCAATGCCGGTCCTCGTGGATTACGGCATGTATCAGGACATGCTATGACTTCAAAGGGAAGTTGGCGCCATCTCTCATGGGCCACTCCGCCCTGGCCGCCTCCACGGCGTTCTTGGCGCAGATGCCAATCATAGACATTTGCAGGGCGGCCACTTAGTCTTCGCTCCATACATTCGCTAACCATTATGCAATCACGCAGCAGGCTAGACAGGATGCGGCGGTTGGTAGAGCAGTGCTGCAGTCCGTTCCAGTGTAGGATTCCGACCCCGCTTCCGTGGGGGTGCTTGGGAATCACCTAAGTGGAATGGACATAAGCAAGTACTCAAAGAAGAAAAGACGGTTACTTCATAACTGTTGTTCTTCGAAATGTGTTGCTTATGTGCATTCCAATCCTTCCCACCTCCCCTTTGTCGGAATGTCCAGCAAGAAGGAACTGATGAGGTTGGGGGCCAGCAGGTGAATATATGCGTGGACATATTGGCACCTCTCTAGGGAGCTGCCTGGCTGGCCTGACGGGTACTGCTAAGAGTAAAACTTCCAGGAGTTGTGCACACGGTGCGCACACACCCAAGTGAAATGGACATAAGCAACACCTCTCAAAGAACAACAGTTACGAGGTAAGTAACCATCTTATCCAGAGCCGTAACTTTTTTTAAAAAAAAAATTAAAGCATAAATTCTGGGAAACAAGAAAACAATGGGAAAGAGGTGTCTTGTATATGGTGCTGCTTGTCTAGTGACTCAGTCTGAGCTCGGAGTAAAAGAACATTGTATTAGTCATACCAAATTATATCTTTTCCGTTGTGATGTTCTCTGTACCACGAGACTTCAACTGCAGTGAACAGCTGGTTTTATTTAGGGATATTAAGGACTAGTTGCTTACCCTCCTTTTCTTCCTTCCTTGCTGCCTCCATCAGATGGAGGTAGCAAGGAGGGGGGGATTTCAAAAGTGGCAGCACCACACGGAGCCTGGGATTCTGGGTTCCATGCAGCGCTGCCGCTTTGAAACGCCACAGCGGTGTTTCAAAAGGGCAGTGACACACAGAGCCTAGGATCAGCTATGCTGTGCTGTTCCTTTGAAACATCGCAGTGGCGTTTCAAAATGGCAGTGCGACATGGAGCCCAAGGGTCAGCTTGGGAGTCCCCAGCTGACCCTGGGGCTCTGTGCTAATGCATCGACTATTCGATTAGTGAATTAATTGATACTCAACATCTTAGTTCTAACATCCTGAGTTAGAAAATTTCATTTGAGGAATGGGTTGAATTGCCCTAAGTATTGGGCAATATTCTAGTGCCAGGATGGGCAATAATTTTTGTGGGGGGGGCCACTCCCAAGAACGTAAGTGGTCATGAGCCACACTCTTCCATATTAATGGAGGAGGTGTGGGATAGAGTTCAGGTGCAGAAGGTCGCTTGGGGTGAGGGATTGGGGTGCAGGAAGGGGTGGTCCAGATCCAGGAGGGAGTTTGAGTGAAGGGAAGGAGTTGTGATCTTGGGCAGAGGGCTGGGTTGCAGGAGGGGGGTGGTACAGGGTCCAGAAAGGGATATAGATGCCGGAGAGGATTCTGACCTAGAAGAGCAGTGCAAGAGAGGGATTGCAGGGTGTGGCAGGAGGTTGTGACACGGGAAAGTGGTGCAGAAGGTAAAGAAGCAGTTTAGGATGTGAGCTAGGGCAGGGGATTGGGGTGTAGGATCTGGAAGGAAGTATGGGTGCAGGAAAGGATTCTGACCTCGTGGGGAAATGCAGAGTCTGGAAGGGAGTTGTGAACTGGAGGAGGTGCAAGGTCTGGAAGAGGGTTGTAACCTGTTTGAGGGATTTGGATGTGACCGGGGGGGCGGGAGATGGGATTGGGGCGCAAGCTCTGGAAGTGGATATGGATGCGGGAGCAGAGGTTCAAAGGGTTTGGATTACAGAGGGACAGCACATGGGGTAGAGGTGCAGGAGGGGGAGCAAAGGGTTGAGGGAAGGAGGAGAGGGACTGAGGTGCCAGATGTAGGCTATGGTTGGTAGGTAATTTACGTGGGCAACTCCTGGCCAGCAGCCCAGCAGGTTCCTTCAGCCAGGCTCCCTGCCATCCAAGGTCCTGCATGCTGTGCAGAGCAGCCAGCTGCGGGGATCGTATGCCATTTTTTGCCAATGGGAGCTGCAAGATTGTGCTGGAGGCAGGGCAGTGCGCAAAGCCTCTACCCCTTCATGTTCCCAGGTTCGTAGCATTCAGAGAAACATATGGCTATCAGAGCTGCTTCTCTGAGCAGTGTGCAGGGCAGAGGCAGGGTCTTGGCTGAAGCTCCTGTGGGCTGGATCCGGTGGCTTGGTGAGATATTTTGCCCACCCTGTCCAAGTGAGCTTAAGATATGAAAAAAGATCTGATAATTCTGCTGATTTTACACATGGATTGAAATTGTATCCTCTGTGTATAATTTTATTTTTTTCACCCACTCTGATTTAGACTTAGTCCTCTAGACACAAGAATTAAATTGGTAAACTTTTTCAGTATAATCTAAGAATTTAAACAGTTATATCACTATAACCTCCTGTGGGCACTTTGGTATTCCACTATGATTGGTTTCTTTCTGTTCAAATTGTGTTGCATGGAAAGGTGTTAAAACTAAACAAAAAGCCATTCTTATTATAAATATACAGCTTGTCTAGTTATAGCACTAGCTGTTAACATTCCCATATTATCAAGGTCTAAGTGTTATATGGGAAAATACCTCCCCTCCAAGGAATTTCCATCTGGCTTCAAATTGTGGGTTTTAGTGACTTGTTTAGTGATTCTAGTGGCCTTCCCAGCTGACCCACGCAGCGCTGCTGCTTTGGAAGGCCGCAGTGGCATTTCAGAGGGACAACACTGTACAGCTAATCCTGGGCTCCATGCAGAGCTGCTGCTTTGAAATGCCAAGCGGAGCCCGGGATCACCTGGGGACTCCCCAGCTGATACGTGGCTTCAGTGCGGCATTTCAAAGCATGCAGAGCCCTGGGTCAGCTGGGGAGTGCCCAGCTGATCCTAGGCTCCATGAAGGCGCTTCTGCTTTGAAATGTATAAGAGCCCCTGCTGGCTGAACCCCTCTTGTGCATTTCAAAGGGTAAGCACCCTCCTGGAGCCCAGAGTCAGTGGGACTTGCTGCTGGCTGCACGCAGTTTGTCATGCCAGCTTTGAAATGTACAAGAGTTCTCAGGGGGAGCTCTTGTACATTTCAAAAGAGGAACACTGAAGTGCCTATTGACTAGTTGATGGCATTTCCATCAACTACTCAACTAATAAATTACTAATTAGTTAAAATGTAATATGAAGGATGTTATTTCAAGTATCTATATAAAACTGTACAACAGTGAAACTGACAGAATCATGCCAGTCTTATCCCAACCAGGTGCTTAATTTGTAGGGGACAACAGCTAAGGCAATGAAAATATTGCTTCTCAATTTTCAGAGGCCTTTTTTTTTCCTCACTTGTTGTCATTTGGCTAGCAAAAGTTTGCATCAAAAGCTCTTGAGAACCTGAAAGCATGAACCTGTCTCAAATAAGTCTTGCTCATTCAGCAGGCTTCTCCAAATGTTGCAAATGTAAGTTCTTTCTAAGTAACATTTCTCTTCCTGTTCAGGTGCATAAAAAGGATAAAAAGTACAAGTGTATGGTGTGTAAGAAGATCTTCATGCTAGCAGCCAGTGTTGGAATAAGACATGGATCTCGACGCTATGGAGTTTGTGTAGACTGTGCAGATAAATCTCAACCAGGAGGGCAAGAGGGAGTAGACCAGGTGCAGGATGCAGACTTCCCTAGAGATGAAGAATATGAGGAAAATGAAGTTGGAGAAGCTGATGAAGAATTAGTTGATGATGTGGAAGAACAGAATGACCAGTCTCGATGGGATGAATCTGGGGAAGTCTGTGTGCCTTTAGATGACTGAAGGCATACTTAAAAGGATGCTGCAGTTGGACGCTATGGATTAACAATTTGAGTTCTTTGACTGAAGGCTTGCAAAATATGGTACAGGCTGGATGGTAGTTGTGTTGCTGTGAAATTTGTAGGGTCAAAGCCTTATAGCAAAAAAGGATTATTAAATTTTTTATGATATTTGCACAGGACTGTAAAGCATACAACCATTTGGTTGAATTATACAGAGTCCTCACATCTAGTCAGTTATCAAAAGAAAATGTATTTTTTATTATTTATAGGATATAGCTACTTGGGTCCTATTCAGACATGGTAACTGTACTTATTATGTTACACATTCATGTATCCGTCAACATGAATGAAGAATATTACAATCTTGTTATGGAAATACATGACAGCTTCCCCAAATTCAATCATAGTTTCAGTGAACTGGTGAGGCTAATTTGGGCTAGTGGCTCTTATTTCCAAGAATAGGGCTTTGCCATACCACTCTTGCCTCCCCCTTACCCATAATGGTCTAAACTCCTCAGTAATGTAAATATGCAGTATAGATCATATGAACATGCTAATTAAATTGACTCATCAGTTGGCTTTAAGCCTGCCTGTGGTCTAGGTGACAAGCACTGGAGTAGATACTATTGGTATTAATTTACTGACTTTATTTCTTGACAATTTTGAATTTACAAGAGAGCGATTTCTTTTTCACCAAATGAGAAATAATCACACAAGGAAAAATTAATGCTAGGGAGGATTGTGATTTGAGTATGAGTAACATAGCAGATTTTACTATATTAAACACTTTCTGGCATTGCTGCCTGTTTTAAGTATCTTTGTTGGCATTATTCCCTGTTGACCATCTCTTCCCCCCCCCCCCCCCCCCCTTTATCCCCTGCTCACATCCCCCCCCCCCCCCCCCCCTCCAGTGTATTCCTCAGTCCAACACACAGCTTAGAGTCCCCAAAATGGAGAAAGTGTCATAGAAATATTATATGACATCTGAATTTTTGGTTGTTAATTTACAATAAATGTCTGCTTTTGGCTAGTTTTTGTTATGAAGTATGAATTAGACACTAGGCTGTTGTGCTCATTGTTATTCATTAAAATGAACACACATGATCTAATTTTTTAATTCTTTTGTATTTTCTGGGGTGTTTCTAGTGTTTAATGTTAAATTATGTATGTTTAATGGATTAATTTGCTATAACGTTTTTAAAAAAACAAAACCAAACCAAAAGCAAAATGATATTCATTTGAGTTCACCCTTTAGAATTCTCCACTCCCAGCACTCTTTACTTCAGTTTTTGAGGAGGCATTGAAACTTGAATTTTTGTAGCCATGGACTTTTTTTCTAAACTTGTGATACTGTACCAATGACTTCAGGCCTCTTTCTGAGGGAGGGGAGGATATTGCACCTTTAGGTTAAACTCCTTCACTTCATAGCCTAATAAATTAGCTGATCATTGGACAGTGCATTTGATGTAATATTATGTCACAATGAATAAATATGCACAGCATTTATCATAACACATAGCTAGGCCAGTGTGACTGTACTGTATAAAAAATTGAGGGTCCCCATATTTTCAGCTTTTGTTTTAATTTTAAAATGAGTATATTTTCCTATTTTATATCAGGTAACTAAATTATGCTAGTTGTGTGGAAAACTTTGAACTATGCTTTGACGGACAGAATCTTAATGGTGCTCCATCTGATCAAAGTTGGTATGTATTTAAAGAGACAAGCTTTATTGTTTTTCTTTTATTTCAGTAGAACAGTGATTTAATGTTAGACATTGCTTCTGCTGGATGAGACTGAGAAGTTGAACTACAGTTATATGGGTATTAAAATGCATCTTTTTATCATCCAGTTATTTCATTGGTAGTTTCCACGGCACTATAAACCTGACAGAACTAGTTTTTTTTTGTTGTTGTTTTGTTTTTTTTTTAATGGAAGAATACATCTTCTCATTTTGTTCTAGACTGAAATGTGTAATTCTGGTGGGGTCCAAAGTAGAAATTAGCTGGGCAAAGATCATATGAAAAAGTATTTTAAACGTTTAAAGTAATGTTCTGCTTTGTGAATATGTAAGTATAGCATAAAGATTTTTTCCATCCCCTTTAAAGCCATAGTTTACAATTGGTAGGTCTGTCTCTCTATCTCT